CCAAGGTTCATCTGGTACACCGCTGTGCGAACACACACTTTCCACAGGACTGTCTTTACTTAAAGGATGATGGAACTAATATAGACATTTTCGCTTTGCAACTCGGTGCTCACTTCCCAGACATTGTCGCATTAAAAGTTAAAATTTGCAGTTTCTGGTTTTGTTTAGCCTGATTCCGAACTGGTCCGGACGAGATCACACTGCCGTCTAAGTACAGCAAAACTGGAGTCGCTGTATCCAGGCTTGCGCACAGCACGTGAAGGCGTTAGCGAAGCGCTCCGAAAAATTGGACAAGCACAAGGCCAAAGAGTTATTCAACAAGCCTAACCTTTCCAGCGTTCTGACAGATGCTATTGCAGTTGTTGACTGAATCTATTTGAATACTTGTAAGCACAAATACTGCTCATATTTGTTGTTGTTTTTAGGATAAGAATAAAGAAAGTTTTAAAATTAATTGAAAGATTGGAATTTGCGGAAAAAACCAGACTAGGAATCGTATCGGGTATCGCTTTGTTCAAAAATTTAGCACGCGCTGTCGCGTGCGACCATACAAATTAATGTGTTTTATACCCCAGAAAAAAAATAGGAATTGGTTTTCATACTTCTGTCAACGACTGTATGCACGGACATAAGTATTTATTATCTCTTCCTATATTCTGTGAACTAACTGAACCTGTTATGGCGATTCTAACTTCCGATTTTCCGAATGAGGTAGACCTAAAAAATGTTTAATTTTGAGAACTCCTCCGATTTCTGAGCAATGAACGACCACTTCACATGACATTGCAACAAAAAATTATTGAAGAAAAATCCATGAATACTTACCAATGTTTCTTTTTCTACGAATTCTAAATCACCCACGTCACTGTGGTGACTTCGTTGTTATTGAAAGTCCATGCATATCCCGAATTTCATTCTTGAGAATACCTATAAGAAAAAACATAAGGCACGGTAAGTGGAGGCTCTCAAGGACACAGACACAGCCCGTGACTGGAATTCGCGGGCTTCGGGAAAGTTCGAGAAAACGCTGATTGTCTTAACAACAAAGAAAAACAACAGGTGAAACCTTTGCAGATTCAACTAATCAGGTCCTACGATAGGACGAATGTCCACAAGAACGAAACATTGCAGCGCTGGTGAGAGGTTAGACACAAACACAAGCGGCCTTCTACGGCGCCTTCGTCAGTAACTGTCAAACCGCGAAACTGGGACAATCACTGAGGGTCGGTCACTAAGACA